GTCTCTACAGCAGTTTTTCTGTTATTTAATAAATATTTTTGTTATATTCTTGGAGCCTGCCTGCACCCTGGATCCGTTCCTGTTAAAACCTGTCAAAGGGATGTCTTGATTGAGAACAGGTGTGGCAATAATCAGGCCTGGGTGTGACTAGAGACAGTGTACTCAGRTGTGAAAAACCACAGTTAAGCTGTATTTTAACAAGGGGGGCAATTACTTTTTTACACAGGGGCATGTAGGTTTGGATTTTTTTCCTCCCTTAATAATAAACATCTTCATTTAAAAATATCATCTTGTGTTTACCTGTGTTGTCTTTGACTAATATTTAAATTGGTTTGGTGTTCTGAAACACTTAAGTGTGACAAACAAGCAAATGTCAGAAAAACAGGAAGGGGCAAACACTTTTTCACACCACTCTATCTGATGCTTTTGTGACCGCAACCTGAACGCTCATGTTTCATGACTTACAAATCAGTGAGGTGGGAGCAGATCTATACAGAGATACATGAGACACTAACCCTGAGTCACGCAGTAACTCCACATGTCTTCAGCTACAGAACTGACGTACAGTTGCTTGGTCTTTGTTCTTTTAATTTTCCATTTCCTGGATGACTGATAATCCACAGAAACAAGTAATGTCTGTTTCTCTCGGACTGTATCAATGCTAAAGTTACTGAATTGATACTTCCAGCACTCTGCGACTTGCTTTAAACCATAAATACACACTGCACCAGAGCAGCTGACYAGAGGCAGGTTCAGATATAAACACTGAACTAAACAGCAGATCAGATATTTAACCAGCTGTTGCTGCACAACTACTTCAGAATCTACATGCTAACATGTAGCTTGTGCTAAAGCTCAGTGAACAAGCTAATGAAGCTGCTACAGTCTATATATACTGCTGTCGGCAGTCACAGGGCCCCATAAGKGGGGACTGAGAGTACGACAGTCATTTCAATGACTCAGTGTTTCATATGTTTGTTGCATTTGGCCACTACAGTATTGTATCTCTGGGTCCCCCTTCAGCTTGGGGCACTATATAAATGCTTACCTGCCTGTAGTAACATGACCGCTCTGATTACAGAGGAGAAGCCGGCCAGTGTCAGCTTCAGCAATTTTTACTTTTTTGTTGCCTTAGCAAAGCTACAGCAGGTAAAATAAGTATTGAACACGTCACCATTTTTCTCAGTAAATATATTACTAGAGGTGCTAATGACATGAAATTTTTAAGAGTTGTCCAAGAGCCAAGGACCACTTGTGGAGAGCTTCAGAAAGACCTGGAATTAGC